GTCTTAGGTTTAGATCTTTGATCCACTTTGAGTTGATTTTTGTTAATGGTGACAGGGGTTTAAATTCATCTTTGGGCAGGTGGATACCCAGTTTTTCCAGCACCATTTGCTAAAAAGGTTTTCCTTTTCCTACTGGATTGACTGGTACCCTTTGTCAAAGATGTTTTGGGGTTTATTTCTGGGGTCTCTACTCTGTACCATTGGTTCTCATGTCTGTTTTTGTACCAATACTATGCTGTTAGGATTATCACAGCTTTTGTAATATATTTTGGGGTCAGGAAGTGAGATGCCTCCTACTCCACTCTTCTTGTGCAGATGGCGTTGGCAATATGGGGTCTTTTGTAATTCCAAATTCTTTGACTGTCTTTTCTAGATCTGTGAAAAATGTCTCTTGTAATTTTATAGGGATTATACTAAATATGTAGATGAATTTGGGTAGGATTGCCATTTTGATTATATTAATTTTGCTAATCCAGGAACATGGGATGTCTTTCCACTTTTTTGTGTCCTTTTTGATTTCCTTTTTAAGGTTTTCATAGTTTTCCTTATAGAAGTCATTGACTTCCTTGCTTAGTTTTATTCCTAGGTATCTTATACTTCTCGTGGCTAGGGTAAACGGGATAACTTTCTTGAGTTCTGTCTCTGTCTGCTTGTTGTTTGTATATAGAAATGCTATAGATTTTTGTAAGTTGATTTTGTATCCTGCCACTTTACTGTATGCATTTATTACTTTAGGGAATTTTTTCATGGATACTATTGGGTTTTCTATGTAAACAATCATGTCATCTTCAAACAGAGATAATTTCAGCTTTTCTTTTGCTATTGGAATGCCTTTTATTTCCTTCTCTTGTCTGATTGCAATGGCTAGGACTTCCAGTACTACATTGAATAGGAACAGAGAAAGTGGGCAGCCCTGTCTTGTACCAGTTTTTAGTGGAAAAGCTGAAAGCTTTTCCCCTTTCGGTATAATGTTAGCTATAAGTTTTTCATAGATGGCTTTTATTATGCTGAGAAATGATCCTTTTATGCCAATTTTACTGTATGTCTTAATCATGAAAGGATGTTGTATTTTGTTGAATGCTTTTTTCACATCAGTTGAAATGATCATATTGTTTTTATCTTTCATTCTATTAATATGGTGTATTACATTTATTGTTTTGTGTATGTTGAACCATCCTTGCTTGCATCCCTGGAATAAAGCCCACCTGGTCATGATGAATAATCTTTTTTATATGCTGTTGAATATAGTTAGCAAATATCTTGTTGAGAATTTTTGCATCTATATTCATCAGAGATATAGGTCTGTAGTTTTCCTTTTTTGTCGTATCCTTATCCGTTTTGGGAATGAGGGTAATGGCGTCTTCATAGAATGAGTTTGGAAGGGTTCCTTCCATTTGGATCTCTAGAAACTGTGTGAGTAGGATGGAGGTTACCTCTTCTTTAAAAGTTTTGGGGACCAGCAGTTGGCATAATGGCTATGTCGCTAGACTCCCATGTAGTTGATCACAGTTCGAGTCTCAGACCTGGTGGCTTAAACTCACTCTGGGTGCATGTGTGCGCATGCCCAAGATCCTGAGATGAGAATGGAGAAGAAGAGATTGCGGCATGGCCATCTCCCTGGGGGATGATTTCTCACTTTCTGTCTCTCTGTCTCT